TCATTACAGTTAGATTTATTTGTTTGTCTGTTTGCTCCGTTTTCAGTTTTAGGGGATTTTTATTTTAAGATAAATATGTAAACATTTAAATGATTCCACTGTCATATCTGTAAAATGAGTTCTAGTCTATATCTCTGTCTCTTCTACCTTGTTCTCTCTTATGCCTTATAGACAATCATTTAATTTGTGTTATGGTTAAATAAATGGCATTATGCTATCCATACTTATTTCTTTTGGATACGCTCCCCACCTCCCCTTAACAATATATTCTGAAGATTATTTAAGGGCAGTATATTTAGAGAGTCATCTTTTCTTTTATAGTTTAGGAGTGCTCCATTATAAGAATGTACCATAGTTTATTCCTCTATTAGTGGACATTTGGGTTGTTTACAACCTTTTACTATTATGAATAGTGCTTCAGTATTACAAATAGTACATATTTTAAGGTAGTCAGAATCATAGTGTATACTTTTTCTCCTGTTTTTTTCTTAATGTTATAACATGAACATTTTCCATCTTATTATAAATTCTTTGTAAATGGTATTTAAGACAATTTTTTTTTCTGATTATGAAAGTGGTACAAGATTTTGGAAACTTAGAAAAATAAAAAAGTAAAAATCAACTGAAAAGTCACTCATAATCCTTCTATTTAGATATACTGTTATTTTTGGATGTGTTACCGCATAGCCTTACAACAGTTATGTAAACATTTAGAAAACAAGCCATATCGTATTATATATACAATTTGGTATCCAGGTTTGTTTTTACTTATAATTGTGCTTTTTAAAAATACTGTACTCTTTATAATTATTTCTCTATCGTTGGCTATCTAGTTTCTTTTTGTTTTTTTAGCATTGTAAATAATGTTGTGATAAATATCTGTGCATAGAGCTCTATTCAAATTTCAGATTATTCTTAAAGTTGGCTTTTGTAAGACTTCAAATGAGAAGGAAGTACACATTTGTTGAATGCATCTATTATCTTGCTTTTATAGCAGTAATTTAGCAAGTCAAACACGTAAGAGATTGTCACCTTGAAATTTTTGTCAAGTAAAGTCCATTTTCCCTTTTTCTCCTGGTAGGACCTTAGAAATGAAGTTGAAAAATTACGCAATGAAGTTAATGAAAAAGAGAAAGCAGTGGAGAATCGGTATAAGAGTCTTTTGAATGAGAGCAATAAAAAATTGCACAGTCAAGAGCAACTGATCAAACATCTAACAGAAAGTGCCAATCAAAAGGACTTGTTGCTTCAGGTACCGTAACTTTTTTTCTTTTGTATTTAAGTCTTTTGAGTTAGCACGGATTATTTTTGATTTTTTTAAACTCTTTTGTAGGAACATTTATGGTTAAAGTTGTCATTGCAATATTTTAGAACACTTTAGAGCTTTCCTTATGTCATTTGAGCTTCAGTCATCAGAGAAGTAAGTTTGGAGAAACAGAAGCTCAGAGAAGGGATTAACTTATCCTGGGTCATATGACTAGTAAATGGCAGAGCCTGGGTTCAGGCCCTGGCCTGTTGCGCCCTAGTGCCCAGCCCATTTCACTGAGGTACTTCTACTGCGAGTACTTTCATCGAGTACTTGTGCTATGTCCATTCTTCCTCTGTACTTCTCCTCTAACTGTTCCTTTTTGTCTTGGAACACCCTTCTTGTTGGATCATGGCAGTGAATTTTTGAGATTCAACTCAGACTTACAGGTACCATGCTGGATTGAACATGGCTATTTAACTCTACTTCATACTGAAACCTCATTAAAATAACAGTGAAGGAATAAAAAGGTATAAACCTACAAGGACTAACTTGGAGAATGGGAGCAGGTACAACAGCAGGTGTGAGTTGGATATTTTGGATAAGTGGATGGGCAGGTGGTAACAGTATAGGATTCAGCTTTCTCCACTCTGCTGTGTGCCTTTGGGATGAAAAGCCAACAAGAAGCAAGCTGATTTATGCTGCAGAACCCCAGGCTCGGCAGGCATTGGATGTACCTTACCTGGTACCTTTGAAAACAAGAGACTTGGCTGACATTCTTAGCAGTTGTAGGTGATCCTCTTCTCACCAGTAGAAGATTTCTGGAGACATTAAACCAGAGAGGCTCTGGCCTGGAGGTCACCAGATGCAACCGAAAGCAGAAGTGGATAGCTTGACTGAAAATGGTGGGGAGGGGAAGTGTGCATCCCCAGCAGTGAGACTCCTCGGAGGGGAGGAAAGACTGAAAGGTGCTAACGTTTGGGGGTCCTCCAAAAAATCGGCCAGGTCTCCACCTGAGCATCTCACAGTGAGGCCACCTTTCACATGTCCTTTCCACACTCACGGAGCTTCTGAGCACTTTTAACCCTTAAAAGCAAATAGATGGCTTGAGTTCATCAAATGGGAGAAAAGTATTTAAGAGGAAGACAAAGGCCAAAACAGAACAAAGGTACATAGAAGAAATGGAAACAATGCAAGTAGGAGAAGACTAGACAGCTTTTAAAAGACCAAAAAATTCAACACTGTACCACCTTTCCATAGGAAATAAGATCAGGACTGATAAAAAAGATATTTGGAAAGAGGAATGACCTATTGGAAATTGAAAGTATGATCACAGATATAAAAAGTTTAATAGAAAAATTAGAAAAGGTGGAAGATAAAATTGAGTAAGTCTTCCAGAAAATAGAATTAAACAGATAAAAATTTAGAAAAATGGGAGGGAAAAGATAAGAAAATTAGAGGCTTGATTCAGGAGGTTCAAGATATGACTAACTGGAGTTCCAGAAAGCCAGAACAGGCAAAGGAGAGGGAAGGAACATTTCAAAGTAACAGGAAAAAATTTCCCAGAATGGAAGGATAGCTGTTTCTACATTGAAAGGGCCTACTCTGTTTCTAGCACAAAGAATGAAAAAAGACCCATTCCCCAAGGCATGTCATTGTGAAATTTCAGAACACAGGGATAAAGAGGATTGAAAACCTTCTACAGAGAGGAAAATCCAGGTCACATACAAAGGACCCAGACCTGGAATGACATCAGAATTCTCAGCAACACTGGAAATCAGAAGATCAGAAGAGCAATGCTTTCAGATTTTGAGGAAAAGTGATTTCAACTCCAGCATTCTGTACTCAGCCAAGCTGTCAGTAAGTGTGAGGGCAGACTAAAGGCATTTTCAGACATTTGGTGCCTAAAATCATCAGCCTCCTATGTGCTCTTTGTAGGAAGCTCTTGGAGGATGACTCCATATAAATGAGGGAATAATCAAAAGAGAGAGACATGGGATCCAGAAAGTATTCACCTGGGATGGGGTGAAGGGAAGCCCCGGGGTGACAGCTGAGCCGCTTAGGTAGAGAGCCCAGATTTGAGCCATTGAGGGAGAGTTTCAGTCGTGATCTCCAAGAAACTAAAATGGAAGAGGTCAATTACCTGATGTATTTGACTCCATGAGAGGAATTTTGAAGTTCTGCTAGAGAGTTTAGGAGGTAAATTAACATTAAATACATAATTTTATGAACTAAGTAAACAAATAGAATAAAGTAGTTACTAATTCCAAGATAAGCAAAGAACTGAACATGCAAGGAAATGTAATCATGGAACACGGTGTGGCTGAGCCATGAGCAGTATTTGTGTGGCTGTAATGTAAATGCAGAAAATGATTTAGTAATAGTTAGTTGTCGATAACTAAAATTATGACATAATTAGGAAAAGTGTTGAGGGGCAGAGAATGTAGGAGCTGAATCCTTAAACTTCTATGATAGGAGCCAGTAAATGAAATCTAAACTTAAGAAATGAAGAAATGTGAGAGTAAGAATGTAATGTAGAAACATGGAGGTAAATACAAAAAATAAAGAGGTGCAAGTTGTTCTCTGGGAGTGGGACTTAGAGGTGAGAAGTGGAGAGGTAGAGGACTGCTATTTTCCATTGAAGCCTTAAAGTGCTATTTGACTGTGAAACTATATAATTTGGCTTTAAAAAATGAAAAGTGTACGGCCGGGCATGGTGGCTCACGCTTGTAATCCTAGCACTCTGGGAGGCCGAGGCAGGCGGATTGTTTGAGCTCAGGAGTTCGAGACCAGCCTGAGCAAGAGCGAGACCCTGTCTCTACCAA